CACCTTCCCTACACCTTTAGCTCCTTTTTTCCCATTTCTAAATGTCAGTACTCTTATTAGAATCTTATGCATTGTTGCAGATTATTTACACCAGGGAAACTATTCGGTATTTACACATGTGTGACTTATTTATTTCACTTAGGAGTATATCTTCAATATGTATCCATTTTCCTATGAATGAATCTATTTTCTCGTTCTTTATGGCTGAGTATCCTCAGGTGTTTTTAAAGGGTAACTTGATAAGCGTCTGCTGCAGTCTTTAAAACAGCATTGTACGGTGGCACAAAAGGGTCCTAAAACAGTAAGAATTACATGGACAGCACTTAGCTTGCCAAGGAGCATCCCTTTCAAAGCAGGCCAAAGAACAATTACATTTTCTTATTTAGTGTTAGTTTTTGTTTATAGACTCAGGCAGAAATGTTGAAATGACTTAGACCTCCTAGACGCTGCTCTTCTGTTGAACGAATCCCACACCATCTGCCTGGTTCAGTTGTAGCCAGCGACCATTGGGAGGCACAGTCCTCCCTGGTGCCTGGCAGATACTAAGTAGTTAGTAGATGCATTGTGAAAGGATGATTTATCAGTGTTCCACTTACTTTTACTTTTTTTTTTTTTTTTTTTTTTTTTTTTTTTTTTTTTTTTTTTTTTTGCAGTTCCAGGGATCAAACTCGGGACCTTTCTCTTTCGAGGCAGGCACTGGCACCACTGAGCTAAATCCCTGGCCCTACTTACTTGTATTATAACCTGTACTTCTACATAAAGTCATCTGTAGACTAAGGTTCTGGAACAAGAAAGTTCCCTAGAAGCTTCGCAAGTATGGAATATCTTGATAGGAAAGTCTAGGGCAGCAGTGCTAATCTTGGAGTTTGGGGAAAGATTTAAGGGGTCATTGAACCTATTGAAAGAAAGCAGGTACTCTGGTGGGGCTGGCAGAAGAAATTTTTATTGAGAAAGCATAGTTTATAGATCCATCAACTTTTTTGTTGTTTTGAGACAGGGTCTTGTTTTGTACTCCAGGCTGGCCTTGAACTCCCTGTGTAGCTCGGGCTGGCCTCCAAATCACAGCGATCCTCCTGTCTCAGCCTCCAGAGTGCTGGGATTGTAGGCGTTTGCACACCTGGCTAGATTCATCAGCTTTCCAGATGGATCGGTGGGCGCCCACATGAGTAAGGACCATGGCTTTAGCGGTTGTAGATTTAAAGCTTCACCAATCAAGAAAACATTGGCTCAAATGGCTCTGGAAGGAAAGCAGATGACTTTACTAGGAGGCTTTTTTACTTGTGATAGAAACAAGTTCAAACAAGCTTGTGTTATGAAGGCAATTACTAGTTTAGGTAACTGGGAAAATTTAGATTTTTCTTTCTCTTGCTCTTTTATTTTCCTCTAGATCGTCTTTATTCTCAGGCCTGTCCTTTACCTTGGGGAAGAGATAGCAGTCTGCAGCATCAAGCTGTCATTGTCCCCATCAGTGTCCTGGTGTGCATCCCGCTGCTGTTACAGAGAATCCGAGGCTGGCGTTCTGAGGGTTGGGAAGCCCATATGGGCGCTGCCCTGTGGTCAGCTTCTGCTCAGCAGAGAGAAAGGGAGGAACACTAGGGGCTGCCCTACTTGGTAACAGCCTGCACTTGCAGTGACTAATTCAGCCCTGTGGGAGGGAGAACCTACCATTCGGCAAGGGAAAGGCATTAATCTGTTTAAACAGCCCAGTCACCTCTTAAAAGTCTCCCACCTTCAGCACCAGTGCCTTAGGAATCACGTTTCAGCATGAATTTCGGCGGGGACAGACGGTATCCCAGCCGTTGCAGGTAGCGCAGTGTTTTCTTAATAACTGGCAGATGTCCCAGAAAGGCTCTGACCACTGTTTCGCCTTCCCCAGGGAGAGTCCGCAGCAGTCAGGTTACATGGACTGAATAGAATTAGCATGCAACAGGGAGAGGGATTTTCCCAGTGGAAGGCAATGTGTGCAGACCAAAACTGTGTCCTCTGCGGTGACTGAAAAGCCGAGGACAGATAAAGTAGGCAATGGACAGAAAATTACACATTAAAACAGGATAGTTTTAGGCTGAGTCAGGAGGATCGCTGTGAGTGCTCGGCCCACCTGGACTACATAGCAAGACCCTGTCTCAAAAGAAAAAAGAAAAAAAGGGGAGGTGGGGAGTCATGACAATTGAACTCTCCCATTTTACTGGGCGAGTGCCAGCTTTGTGCTGGGCTGATGGGAACCTTTTAGGCTCCCTGCTATCACTGATGACCTTTCTGTGACGCAGGATTAGTGTGTAAGATGTGCAGAAGCCCAAGACAGTGACCGACGAGAATGTGGGGTTGTGCGCTGCTTGTGAGCAGCCTGGCCCGAGTGGTGTGGGACTGTGTGTGAGCCTTCTGTGCGCTGGCGGCGTGCTTTGTCCTGGGACTCAGAGAGTGAGATAGAAACCCCTGCCTTCGTGGAGCCCACGTTCTAGTGAGAACATAATGAGACACATTCCTACACCATGCGGGTGTTGGCTGGGGTACAAGTGCAGAGCCGGGGAGGTGGGCAGAGGAGGTGAACGTGAAGCTGGGAGCCATGGGAGCAGACAGGGTGGGCCTGGGAGGCCTGGGGAGCCTGGGGAGAGCACTGCGGAAAGCAGGAAGGCCGCCAAGGTGCTTTAGCAGAGGAGCAAGCAGTCTTGGTTAGGTGCGTGGTACAGGAGCAGGGCAGGAGACCAGGTCGGAGATGATCGCCGTAGTAGCAGTGATCCAGGTAATACACAGTGGCGGTGCAGACAGGGGGTGGGGATGAAAAGAGAGGCTGAGCTGAGGAAGGTGCTGGGGACTGGGCATGAGGCCTTCCCAAAAGGCTCAGAGCTGATTCGGGAGTCCTAGGCTTGCACAGCCGACCAGGGAGGGTTGGGGAGGAGGTTTCCGTGCGCTCAGTGGAAAGGGGGCCTCATGTCCAGACGGAGTGGCCCAGCGCGCCGGTGGACATGTAAATGTGAATTCGGGTCTGGGCTGCCCATGGGAATTTGGAAGTTACCAGCGCAGAATTAGTTTTTAAAGTCGTGAGAATGGATGAAGTCATCAAGGAATCAGAGTAAACAAGGAAGAGAAGATTTGTCTAAGGACTGCACACCGGCCAGCGCTGGGGAAGAGGGCCAAGGAGGGGCAGCGGGTGACCTGGAGGAGAACAAGGGGAAGTCCCGGGATGACCACTTGGGTGCGGTCTGAGGGTTCCCTTTAGCCGTGGTATCCATGGTGACAAGAGTTTGAGTAGCTCAGACTTGGCTGGTGACGTTCCTAGATTGTTCCCTTTTCTTAGGCATTTAACCCCATGGTTCAAGTCCATCTCCCAGTTTTTTGCTTGTTTGTTTGTTTGTTTGTTTTGAGACAGGGTCTTACTATGTAGTTGAGACTGACCTGGAACTCACTGTGTAGCCCAGGCTGGTCTTGAACTCACAGTGATCCTCCTGCCTCAGCCTCTCAAGTGCTGGGATTACAGGCGTGCGCCACTATGCCCTGCTTAAGAAAAGCTTTTATTTAAATTTACTTATTAAAAACTTTTTTGCAATGTGAAATAGGAAGAAAAGGGCTAAAGGTGTAGGGAAAGTGGGAAGGGTAGGGGAAAGGGAATAAGAGAAAGAAAAAAATATGAGAAAATGAAAAAATAGAAATAAAATGTTTGTAAATGGGGAGGGGAGGAGGGGGTGAAGGGAGGGCAGGGACAAGGGGAAAAAATGAGAACCAAGACCTGTCATGTAAAGGTACAAGATCCCAATAATGACTGTAACTGTACTGTATACCTAAAATGTACCAATAAACTCAACTAAAAAAAAAACAAACAAACTTTTTTTGGTACTGGGGATCAAACTTCAACCTTGCACTTGTGAGGCAGGCAGCAGAACCACTGAGCTAAATCCCCAGCCTTTAAAACAATTTTTAAAAAGAAACTATAAATCGGGCCAGGGATTTATTTAGCTCAGCGGTTCGGTGGCCTGTTTTGCAAGCGCAAGGACCCGAGTTCAATCCCCGGTACGAAAACAAAACAAAACAAAACTGTAAATCAACCTAGCTGGTTTGGTGTTGCACGCTTATAATCCCAGCACTGGGGGGCTGAGGCTGGAGGATCAAGGAGAGTTCAAGGCCATCCTGACTACAGAGCCAAGACCCTGTCTCAAATAAATACATAAATAAATACAAATTTTAAAAAGTAAAAATTGGAACTCTCTTAATTAAAAAAAAAAAACCCTACATTCATGAATTTGAAGTGTCTAAGTAATTAATACCGAGTTGCTATTGTTGATGAACACGATTAGAAAGCATGAAAAAAGGCCTGGCGGTGGTGCAGGCCTGTAATCCCAGCACTCCAGGGGTGTGGTGTGGGGAAGGGATCCAGATGGACCACTGAGCTACATCCCCACCCAAAAGGTTTCATTGCTCTGATGAAAATGTATATTGTTCTTCTTTATTAGAAATTCATTGAATTTGAAGACTCTCAAGAACAGGAAAAAAAGGATTTACAGACCCGAGTGGAATCCCTAGAATCTCAAACAAGACAACTTGAACTCAAAGCCAAAAACTATGCTGACCAGAGTAAGTAAGACTTCCCCTCCTCATAAGTTCTGGCAGAGTGGGAGTGCAGTGGTCGGGCCTGCCTTGGACAGGGCTGCACGCAGCGCTTGGGATTGCTATCCCAGACTCGAGCGGGAAACCTGGCCACTCGGCTTCGTTCCTTCATGTTCACGCTGCACCCCCTAAGTATTTGGGGGTGTAAAGCCCCGGAGCTGGCGCAGTGCTCTAGCCGCAGTGCAGGTGTGTGCGTGGGGCGCTTCTCCTTTGGGTTGAGTACACAGAGTTCCATTGTTACTGTGTTGCTTTGAGATTTAAAAAACGTCACAGGAATTCAAGCTTTTGAAGCATGTATAAAAAATGACTAAAGTCCCTTTTTTGTTCCCTTCTAAAGGAAAAGTAAGAGTATTTCGGGGAACAGAAGTTTACTTTTCAGTTTTGTTTCATTTTTGTATGTTTGTTTTTTGGGATACTGGGGATCAAACTCGCACTTACGAGGCAGGTGGCAGAACCACTGAGCCAAATCCCCGGCCCTTGTTTCATTTTTAATATAATTTTGTGTTATTCTTGACTTTTAAAATAATTGTTTCAAAGCTCAAAGATTATTTTTCCCTTTGGGCTAATGAAGATGGACCAGATAAAGTCACAGTTAGAAAAACAGTGAGACGCTTCATGACCTGTTTTCACATCTGACACAGGAAGACGGCATCCTTCATTCTTCCTGATGTTGTGAACTTTAGCAGAGCAGGGGAGTGAGAGATGACCAGCAGGGACTCCACAGCCCTCTGCCCAGGCTGCATAGCAATCCCTGCTGTTAAGGGGCTGCCAGTCATGATGGCTCCTTCACCACGGGGCTTGGACTGCTCGGTGTGGCCCCCGGGACCCCAGAGGTGCAGCAGAGCTCACAGGATATCCTCGGGAGCCTTGAGCTTAGGCATCCTAACACCCGAGAGCTCCTGCAGCTGTTACACTGTGCGGAAGAGCTGGTGGTTGTTCGTGACAGAAACCACATAAGCCATGTGTTGTGTCTTCGTGTTTCAGTTTTAGAGTCACGTAGAATCCTTTCCCTTTTCTTGGTTAGCACTGAATACTATGCCAAGTGACTTTTATGACCCTGTTGCAGACTCTGCTCCGGAAATTGGAGGGTTAGGAAGCTCATGCCGGGCTCCAAAGTGTACACGTGTTATACCCCTGAAGTCACATTGCTCTGGGTGCCCTAGTCTAGAGAAGCACTTTGTTGGCAATTACAAGCTTTTAGTAGTTTAAGAGTTGAGCATTTCTATATTTAAGGGCAGGCATGGTGGCACAAATAGTCCCAGCACTTGAGAAGTTGAGGCAGGACGATTTCTATGAGTTCAAGGCCAGCCTGGGCTATATAGTGAGTTTAAAGCCAACCTGAACTGCATAGGGAGAAGACCCTATCTCAAAAAAACAAAAACAAGAACAAAACACACACACGTGCACACACAGACACACACAATCCAAGGGAGAAAAAATTTAGCTATTGAAGATAATGTTTTGATCCAGGCTTGATTGTGCTTTTATATCGGGATAATTTTATATTTCAGAACCAAGCGCTAAAGGCACGGTTGGCAGAACTAACCTACTTTTTTTTGTTATTTTACCATGTTAGTTTTTTTCTTGTTTTCTAAGCTATCAAGTTTTTAGTAGAAAATTTTAATTTGGAATGGAGTGCCTTGAGTAAAATGAACATATACATTAAGTCTTCTGCTTCTGTGATAGGAAAGATATTGGATGAAGAATTACCTCGTGCTTGAAATTACATTTTTGATGTCAACATAATAAAAATTGTTTTTATATTTAAAGAAGATATACCACTGCTTTTTTTTCCCCACACAACTATAAAGGGAGTGAGCTGCTAATGTTTTCTGATGTACACTAGCTGTTTTATAACTAAAATTTAAAAATCTGTTTCTGTACTAGTGAATGGTAGAGCACTTCCCTAGCCCTGGATTCAATCCCCAGCACTGCAGGACAAAGAAACAAAAACAAGCGTAAATAAAACAGTAATGTATTTATCCCCCCCCCTTGTAGTACCGGGAATTGAACTCAGGACCTTGCACCTGTGGGCCAGGAGTAATTTCCTAATTAAGGGAAGTTATGACTTCAGAAGACTATTGATTGTCTCAGAATTTGTCGTCCCTAGATTTGTTTGTCAGTCTGGTGGATCAGATCCAGAATCTTTAGGAATTCTCATGTTCTGTGGTATCTGTTCTCTCATTTCCTTCTCTGAAAGTACTGGTTTTATTTTTTCATTTTAATTCAAAGACTTTTCTCCCCCAGTACTGAGGATTGAATCCAGGGAGCACTGAGCTACATCCCTGACCTTTTAGATTTTATTTTGAGACAGGCTGACCTGGATCCTGTGGTGTCCCCCTGCCTCAGCCTCCCAAGGGGCTGGGATTCCAGGCATGTGCCACCTTGACCAGCTCTGCCTGCTTTTGGTTAGAAAACATATAATTTCCAAACATATTGAAAATGAGAAGTACTTTTGCCAGGTGTGGTGGCGCATGCCTGTTGTAATCCCAGCACTCGGGAGGCTGAGGCAGGAGGATCGCTGTGTGTTGGAGACCAGCTTGGGCTACATAGTGAGTTCCAGGACAGTCTGAACTGCATAGTGAGACCCTGTCTCAGAAAAACCAAAAAGAAAAAATGAGAAGTACTTTTTTCATCTGTGCACCCACTGTCTAGATGCAGTAGTTTTAGTTCTCTGTCTGTGCAAGGGCGTGTGGGTGTGGACGCACGCACACCGACACGTGGTTCTCAGCTCGGGGTTGCAGCTGCGGGCAGACAGACGAGGACAGTTATGACCGATGTGGGTGGGACACACATCCTTTTTCCATTCTCTCTCTCTTCTTTTAATATCACGGATCAAACTCAGGACCTTGTGCTTACAAGGCAGGCTCGGGGCCTCAGAGCTAAAGCCCTGGTACTCATCCTTTTTAAAACGTAGCTACGATCGGAGTCCAAGTTCTGCTCTGAAGACCACTTCCTGTGTCAAAAGGGGAGATTTGGGATGCAGTTATTTACTGTCCGAGGAGCAAGAACAAGTAAAGAAATGGGAGCCAGTTAAAGGAGATACTTCAGATTTTTGATTGGAATTTATCAGGTGTGTTATGATTTAACAACTTTGGAAAACTGAGTCTATAAAAATTATGTTACAATTTTGTGGTAGTGTTCGATTTCGGAGATTTCTGGTGGCTCTATTTTAAAAACCTGAACTAATGTGAAACAGTTTTTATTTTTCCAACACGAATAAAACTTTTTAAAGCATGCTATGTAGTTTCCTGACATACAGTAACGGTAACCCTCTCGATAATTAACATCTTATGAGCCTGGAAAAGAAATCTAAAATATTTGTGATGTGAAATATGAAATAAGGAGGTTGCGGTTTAAGAAAGTTTAGTTTGGTGCTTTGTAGGTGATCAATTCTGCCATTCATAATTTGACAGTGACATCAGGAAATATTTTTTGTATTTATGGTTTCTATCATATATTCACTATTTTTCTATCGCAAGCCAAATGTTACCTTGAGGTGGTAAATGTAGGCATTTTAACAGAGTTAAAAATTTTAAGAGAAAGGGAAGGGTCTGGAAGAGGTAAAGGGGATCAAAAATGATGCTGTCGTGTTAATGTACCAACTCCCCAAAATGAATGTAAATGTCACTGAAAACATGTACCGATAAAAGAAAAAGGCAGATCCATTGAGAGGAAAAAAAACATCCACTGCGCCAGGCCCAGTGGTGCACATCTGTAGATCCAGCCGCTCAGGAGGCTGAGGTGGAAGAAGTGGGAGTTCAAGGCCAGCCCGCGCAGTCCGGGGAGACCCCGCCTCAAGATAAAGAATAAGAAGCTTTGGCTGGGGCATAGCTTAGTGGAGGCGTACCCCTGGGTTCGATCCCCAGCCCTGGGAAACAACCAGTCCTTCCTGCTGGGAGATGTCTGCCATTCCCCAGTGGTTGTGGTACAGAGACGTAGGCTGTGGTCTTTTGGTCAAACCAATCACAGTTTTGCTGGGGAGAAGGAAAGGAGGAGGTTATGTGGGTTTTTTCTCCCCTGTGTATCATGTCTTTACATCATTACAGTTAAGAGTATATTTATAATTTTGTACTTTCCCTTAAATGTATCTGAGTCTTTTCCTGATTGCATAATCTGTATTATCTTTTTAACGTCTGCATATGTTGAGCATCTGAAGTTATGCCTTCTATTAGCAATTCCTGTTTTTCTTGGGGAACTGTGTTTTCTTCTTTCCTCCAAAGAGAATTATGTAGCCAGGGATTTAGCTCAGTGGTTCTGCCGCCTGCCTTGCAAGCGCAAGGACCCAAGTTCGATACCCGGTACCAAAAAACAAACAAATAAAGAGAATTATGTAATGAGCATTTCATTTTTACCTTGGCTACCCAGAAACACAGGCCAAACTTTGTAACAGCTTGCTTGGATCTTACCTGGTTAAGCATACTTAAATTTTTCTCCTCCTAGATCCAAGTTCATATAATGGTCTTGAAAGTTGCCTCAAATCCTTGTGGAATGAAAGGAGTAAGGATAAAAATGAGTGTTAAAAAAAAAAAAGACAAAACCCCCAGAAACTTTCCCTTTTGGTGGGTTGGACATTTTTCTAGTGTAGTGAATCATATTTCAATAAATACATATTTTTTTACTTCTATGGGTTTTTCCCTTCTTGATAATTTTCTTAGAATACATTTAAGGAAGTTGATGGAGTAGGAATGTTTTAATGGTTCTTCTTATAGTGTTAGGCCATTTCTACCTTTAACAGAATTGGGAGTAAGGATTAATAACATCCCATTTTATTTACCATATCTCAAGACTTTGAGTCATGATTGACAACTTTTTAGCACCCAGAGTGGACAAGGAAACATTTATTCTTCTGTTTTCTCCCAGGAAACCGATTGCCGTCCCATTTCTTGAGATTATAGATTACTTTTCCTGTAGGTACTCGGCCAGTGCGTTTCCTGGAGAGGAAGGTGGGAAGATTTCGAGGAGGACAGTGGTTTTAAGTTAAAGACTCCTCTGTGATTCTGCTTTTCTTTCCTTTGACTGAGAAGCCGTTTTTTTAAAACTAGGTGGAAGAAGGTGACAGCGGCAGGCAGGCCTGTGTGTTAGGGCCCCTCACTCTGACCTCTCAGCCATTTTCCCAAGTAAACATTCACCTGGCTTTTTAGAACCTTGATGCCGTCACTCTCAATGTTTTTATGAGAAAGAAAACTCTCCTTATTTCTTGAACAATAAACACTTCACTAGCGGGAGAGTGTAGACAGGTAGATGTAAAATATCATTATCATCATTTTGTACTTTAAAGGCATACATGTCTGCAGGGCCAGGGATGAGGCTCAGGGGTGCTGCTGCCTGCCTGGCAAGCGCAAGGTCCCGAGCTCGATCCCTGGTACCAAAAAAAAGGAATAAACGTCTCCCAACAGACCTTCGAATTCGATAAATCACACACTTTTACAACACCAAAGATGAGCCACTTTAAAGTTACTGGGCATAGTTTTACACCAGTTAGTATCTGAGAAGGTCTAAGTACTTTGCCACTATTTTCAACCACTTCAAAGAATACCTTCAAGGCCTGTGGAAGCTTTTATCAGTCCCTTGATTGTAATTTGCAGCGTTAATGTACTGGAACTGTAATAGGTTGTCTTTCCATTTTAATTTCCTCAATAGTCAATCCCTTTGGGTGATTTATGATTTTATTGAAAACAGTTTTTTAATAAGTCAACTCTAGAAGCTTCAGATTTATATCTTCCGGTTTTAAAAAATGACAGTGGAGTTATGTGAAAGGTTACTTTTAGTCCATTTAAGTCTAGTTCTTTGCAGCGTTAGGGATGTCTGTGTAGTTAATAACTTCATGTAAGGGCTGTTGGTTTTTTTTTTTTTTTTTTTTTTTAGAGCCTGTGTTTCAGAAGAGAAGCAGACAATCAGGCATAACAGTTTATACAAACTATAACATTTTATTCTGTGTGCTTTATTAGGCAGTTTTATGTGGTCTCCTCTGATTGGTTTATTATCTCTAAGCTCTTCCACTTTTTAGTCTAGAGCCATCTATTGAGAACCTTAAAGTTGTAGTTTGTAAGGAATATCTAGAACCACATGGGCCACAGAAATTCATTTTATGAGTAAGGGTTAAAGGATTTCTGGTGGTTTAGATTAGAGAAGGCGGGGGTGGGGGTTGATGGACTGATTGATTTCTCCTTCACACTTATAAAAGGCTGGGCAAGGAAGACGCCAAGGTGTTTTTCTGTCATTTGGGTAGCCTAAATTAGAGGAAATGAATTTGGCGGGCCGGTGGCTGTGAGGAAGTACTTCTTGGCCAGGCAGAGGAGGTGCTGGGCCGGAGCATGGCCTCTCCCTCCCCGCGTAGGGACTGTCTAGGTGGACTGGTCGGCTCTGTTTTGTGACATCTTCAGGATGCTGATGACGTCAGATTGCTTTAAGTCCCCGCCCCTAGGGTTCTTTGAAGTTATCCCTCACTGTTCTAAGGACATAATCATTGATTTATGAGATGTTTAAAATATTTATAATTTCACTTTGTTATTGATGAGAAATGTAACATGTGTCTGGAAACCTTTTGAAGTTCAGAGACAGAGTGAAGGACCTAGCGGGCAGAGGAGAGCTTTTTATTTCTGTCTTGACGTAGTTGTCTGAGACCTTGGTTGCTCTGAAGCCAGCATCTGCTTCTTGCTTAGCTTTGGGGACTTTTGTCCAAGATTTCTGAAAGACCAAAGCCATTGTTCTGTGGTCCAGTCACTGGATGCCTGCCTTCCGTGTTCAGTACCAGGGGTCACTCTCTGGGAGACGGCAGTGCTAAGTTGGACATGGCGCTCTAGCAGGTCTGTTTCTCTTTCTCCCCCGTAGGCCTATCAGCAGTCTGATGGGGCAGAGGACAGCAGAGCTGGAAGGTGTTCCAAACTTGGCAAAGGCCATCAGGCTGAGGAGGTAAGCTCTGATTTTGAGCCGGCAGAGCAGGTGGCTCTTCCTGCCTTAATCATACCCTCTTGCTCTTTGGAGAGATGGATAGAAAGAGCATTCAAAAGAAGGCTAAATTGTCTCCATTAGCTAATTTAAGGGGGACAGGTTTTTTTTGTTTTTTGTTTTTTTTTGTGTGTGTTTTTTTTTGTACCGGAGATTGAACTCAGGACCTTGTGTTGACTTCTTTTTTCTTTTCTTTTCTCTTTTTTTTTTTTCCTCCTCAGAAAATTGACAGTTAAAAAAAACATGGCAGATTGGTTAACCATGGTATTGGGCTAGGTAGGCTAAGCAGAATCTTGTTTGTTTCCAGTTAATGTCAGGTTAAGGCTAGTTTTGATGAGTAAATGACAAAGTTTTCGGGGCCCCATCATTTTGAAGTTTGGGGTTACATGGGAAACACCAAACAAGGAAGGGCCTAGTGCGATTCAGGTGGAATGGAGGCTGCTCTGACTGTGGGACCTGTGGCTCTGGGTGTCTGCAGTCTGGCTTGTCCTTCCTTTCCTTTGCTGGTTCCTTAGTGGCGCTCAGGATTCCAGATGGTTCTTCCCTTGCTAAAGGTACTTGTCTGAGTGTTTATATCATGGGCTGAGACTCAGGCCTTGAGTTTAGTGGAAATTAGGTCCTGGTGTACAGTGACACTGTGTTTTCAGAAGAAGAATAACTTTCTGGATTTTTTGTATATCAGTGATACACACACACACACACACACACACACACACACACACACACACACACACACACACACACACACACACACACACACACACACTCACACATATACACAATATACAAATATTGCCTCATTTAGCATGTGTATAAATAATGCATGACTTACGTATTATTTGATCAGTTATAGGATCATATTACATAACCTTCACATGATTTGTACCCAAAAGGGCAATCACAGTACAAGTAAAGAAAACATGTACTACAGAAAGTTAGTAACAGTTTCTGTAGAGGCACTTGTGGGTGTTGCGGGGGAAGAAGACTTACCAGAATAGTATTCAGAAATTCATTCAGAATAACAAAGATGGGGCCGGGGATGTAGCTCAGTGTTCCACCGCCTGCCTCGAAAGGGCAAGGATCTGAGTTTGATCCCCACTACCAAAAAAGAAAAAAAAACCAAAAAACAATAACAAAGGTGAAAATTATCCTTTTTTGTTTCCTGTTTATTTTTTATTACGTGTTCTATTTTGGGACTGGGGATTGAACCTAGAGAGTGCTGATCTGAGCTACATCCCCACCCCTTTTGCATTTTGTTTTTCCTTTCGAGACAGGGTCTTGTCAAGTTGTTTAGTTGCCCAGGCTCAGCTTGAATTTACCACCCTCCTGCCTCAGCTTCTCTCAGTTCTGGGAGCACAAGTGTGTGCCACTATGCCTGGCTCCTCTGCCTTATTTGTTATTGCTACTGGGGATTGAAGCAGGGGCTTCTCACTGAGCTATAGCCCTAGCCTTTTTTATTGTTAAATTTTGAGTCAGGGTCTCACTAAATTGCTAAGTTGCGCAGGCTGGCCTCAAACTCGTAGTTTTCCCGCCTCAGCCTCCTGAGTTGCTGGGATTATAGCTGTGTGTCACTGTGCTTGGCTAATAAACTATTCTCAAAGCATACTGGGCTGTCAAAACTTTGGTGACAGAATGCTTTTTTTATGCTGTGGTTTTTTTTTTTTTTTTTTTGCGACTATGTAGTTGAGACTGAACTGGAACTCACCATGTAGCCCAGGCTGGTCTCGAACTCACAGCGATCTTCCTGCCTCAGCCTCCCGAGTGCTGCGTATGCTGTGGAATTTTAATGTATATTTGTAAGCTAACGTATGCTAAGCTAGCTCCGGTTGCTACAGCCAAGTCACAGAAGTTGTGTACAGTCTCATCCTGGCTAACCGTGTCTCAGTATGGATGGGCTGCGTAGATGCTGACGCACTTGTGGGATTGTAACACAATGCCATCGAGGTGACACCCTAGCTGGCCTAGTTTGTGTAAGTGCAGGTCGTGGTGGCCACACAGATGCAGCGGGATGACGGTGTTTCTGAGAATGTGCACCACGTTAGGCTTCGCAGGGACTCACGCTTTCCTTGCTCGTGTGGAGTTTTAGAAGTGGGTAGCCTGACAAGCGGCAGACTCCTCAGAAACGCAGCACTTCCCAGCTGGTAATTCCAGGTTCATCGGACTCAGGACTCATCCGCAAGAGGCTGGAGGAGCAGGAGAGGGAAGGGAGGGACGGTGCCCAGCGCACTCCATCTTTGTCCTTCCCAACCGCAGGGACAGGAGCTGATGGAGTTGCGGCTTTGGGCGGCAGCTGGGCGGCTCTGCCGCAGCTGACAGCCATAGTTAGTAGGTGGTGGTTTTGCCCAGGTGTCAGGCAAGGGAGCGGATGTACTGAGAGCTTCACAGCCATCTGTGTATTCTTTCTACTGTGAGCTGCATAAAGGGGAAGAAGAAATTTTAATAGAAATACAACATATATCATTTGTGCTCATGTAATCTGATTTTTAAATCATTTCCCCTGACTTGATTTTATCATCACTTTTAAAACTCTCCACTGCCTATTCATGAATTTATTCAGCATTTTTCTCATACATTTGCCTGTCTTGTGTTGTTCTTGCTCAGAGGCTGAGCTGCACCCCCAGTCCTGAAGGCCTCTCAGCTTGTAGGGGTAGATGTAATGATGACTGCGGGGGGTCCGCCTTGGGTATCCTGGCCTCCTAGTTTCCGGTTTATAAATGGGCCTGTAGATAACTTAATGTTCGAACCATCTGTACAAGGCTGTGGTTCCCTACTAATGCGTCATATATTATTAGTCTTTTTGATTTTTATAATGAGTTATCAGTGACACATCGGAATATAACTATAGAAAGTGACAAATCTTCTACCAACTTAATTTATCTTTTCTTCACAGTACTCAGGATTGAATTTAGAGCCTTTGCACTGAGCCACATCTCCAGCCTTTAAAATTTTTTTTTTCTTTTTAAGTTGCTAATTTGCCCGGGCTGGACCTGAACTTGTGTTCTTCCTGCCTCTATAACAGGACAGAGAAATTGATTAGTTAAGAATTTCAAGTAAGCTGGGTGCCACACTTACCTCACAAGCACGAGATCCTGAGTTCGATCCCCGGTGCAAAAAAAAAAAGAATTTTCAGTCAGTAGACTCAGGCGAACATGTTGTAACTTTCTCACCTACTGGAGCAGAGAGCAGAGTGGAAATGGATAATACTTGTGCTAGGTGAGCTGATTGTCATTTCTACAGATTCAAATGTCATTTACATAGACCTGTAAGCAAGAGAGAATTTGCCTGCTTTTAGTTTATTATTTTACACCGAGCTACATTCCCAGCCTTCCCTTCTTGCTACCTTTGTTGGCAATACCAACAATTGAACTAGGCCTTCTCGCTGAGCTACATACCCAGTTTTCTTTTATTCTTAAATTTTTACAAAATTTTGACGGGGTCTCATTAAGATGCCCTGGCTGAGCTTGAACTTGGAGGCATCCTGCTTTATCCTCTCAGGGTTACAGATTAATGCTCTGCTGGATTACAGTGGATGCCATCATATGCAGTTTGCTTTTATTTTATTTGGTCCTGGGGATCGAACTTAGGACCTTGCACTTGCCAGGCAGGCGGCGGCACCACTGAGCTAAATCACTGGCCCTGCTTTTATTTTAGATGGTATAAATTTCAATATTTGAGAGCTGAGGATGTAGGTCAGTGGTAGAGCACTTGGCCTAGCACGTATGAAGTCCTGGGTTCAATCCCTCGTACCTCAGGAGAAAAAAAAAGTATTTTGTAGGTCATTATAGTGTAACATACAAAACATATTTATGGCCAGAGGGATTTAGCTTTGTGGTCCCACTGCCTGCTTTGCAAGCACAAGGACCCAAGTTCAATCTCCAGCACCACCAAAACAAAAAAGGGGGCTGGAGATGTAGCTCAGTGGCACTGTGCCTGTCTGGCAAGTGCAAGGTCCTGAGTTTGATCCCTGGTATGGGGAGGTGCGGGGGTGGCTTACCTATAAAGATCTGTAGATAGCATGGAGGACATAAGGAAAACAAAATATATTTACATAAAAAGCCGAGCCAGGCCTTGTTTAAGTGGACCTATGATTTATTTTGCATCAAAAACTGAAAAATGGACATGACTTTGTAGCAGGCACATTTTCAGTATGCTGCACTACTAGTTGAAAATGTGTTAAAATGCAGCTCTTTTGGGTTCAGAAAATTAACTTTTGTGCTTAGAAGAAATGTTGAGTGTTTTAGGGTTATAAAATTTTAAGACTTAGCTCTTATGAAACTGTGATAATCCATACAAAGAAATATTATTCAGCACTAAAAAGAAATTATCCGTCAAAAGACATAAGGTAATGTCAAATGCGTATGTGTAAGTGAAAGAAGGCAGTCTGAAAAGTCTGTACGATGCGATTCCAGCAGTATGACATTCTGGGAAAAGCAAACCTATGGAAACTAGTAAAGGTGAGTGATTGCCAGGGGTTGGTGTAGGTAAGAGGAATGAGTCGGCAGGGCCACAGGATTTGAGTGGGTGAGTTTGAGACGGGGCCTCGCTGTGTAGGCCAGGCTGGCGGCCAACGTAGGGTCCGAGAGTGCAGGCGTGTGTCGCTCCTAGTCACCAACGTGGGAGCTTGTTAAGCTGGCATAGGTGCTGGTGCAGTGTCCTTACTTGGAACTTAGAACAGCGCAGACATTACTGGAGAAGCTGATGAAATCCACACACAACGTGAAGTTGAGTTACTAGTACTTTGCAAAACAATGAGAGGGAGGGAGAGGGAGATCTTTAATGAACATACTTTATTTAATAAAGACACATGCGTACCTTGCCTTCTCCCCTAGGTTCTTCATAAATATTAACTCAGTCTTCATGTGACTCCAGCACAGTTTTTACTCAGATAAGGAAACCAAGGCCCACAGAAGTTAATTTACTCAGCTCATGCTACAAGGAAGCAGCGAAGCTACTGCCCTGTATCCCATCCTGAGACACTCAGGATTCACTTAACCTCCTCGTGACACACCTTGGGGTAGTTCCATTTTGGGGGCTATTATGAGATGTGTATAAGATCTATTTTCTTTTCTCTTTTAATTTTTTGATACAGGGTCTTGCTGTATAGTTCGCACTGGCCTTGAACTCACTATGTAACCCAGGCTGGCCTCGAACTCATGGCGATCCTCCTGGATCCTCCTGAGTGCTAGAATTACAGGTGTGTGCTACCATGCGGAGCAAGATCTAGTTTCAGGGCTGGGTTGTAGCTCAGCGCCTGCCTGGCAAGTGCAAGTTCTTGAGTTCGATTCCCACCTCAGCCTCCGAGTGCTGGGATTACAGGCGTGCGCCACCACACCTGGCAGGATAGTGCTTCTTTGAACATCGCTTTAAATGCCTTTAGGTGGATTCATAACTGTATTTCCTAGAGGGCAAATTATTTTGTCATAGGGTTGGCAAACTCAGCTTTATTCAGTCTTAACAGTTTTCAAACGGCATACCAAACCATACCCACACTCGCATTATATGGGAGTTCCACTTGTTTCGCATCATTTTGTTTGTTTTTGTTTCTCGTCAGCACTCAGTATTTTGTACAGTGGACCCTCAGGCCTGACATATGAACAACTTGGGTTACGACTGGAATTTTAGTTTTAACTTAGGACCAGAGTTTTTAGTTAGGACCCTAATGTCAGCCGCTTTTGCTTCCAGAGGGTCTCAGATAGAACCCTTAATGAGCTCTGGAAGGAACATGACAGCATCCTCTCCTTTGTGGGCTTAATTGAGAAATCCCTGGCCAATGTCTCTCTCTCTCTGTCTCTCTCTCTCTTTTTTTTTTTTTTTTTTTTTGTTGTTGTTGAGACAGGGTCTCACTCTGTAGTTGAGACTGACCTGGAACTCACTATGTAGTCCAGGCTGGTCTTGAACTCACAGTGATCCTCCTGCCTCAGCCTCCTAAGTGCATGCGCCACCACACCCAGCCCTGGCCATGTCTCTTTAAGGACACTGAGATCTGCCTATTTGTAGGAGAGAGACTTTGAAGGCTGTGTAGAGGAACCTGAGCCTTCAGTTGCCCAACTTGAGTTACAACCAGCCCTTGTGAATGAAATGAGTTCTTAAGTCAGCAGAGGTCCATGTAGTTCTTCTTTTAGCCAGTCTGCTGGGTATGTACTTATGTTATAGTTTGGGCTTAATGCTTTACTGTTTTTCATTTGTTTAACAGAGTACCAGAAGTGGGCTAACTTTATAAAGAAAAGAGGTTCAGTTAGTTCCAAGGCAGGGCCAGTGTGAGGGGCGCTGGTTGGCTCTCCGGTGAAGATCTAATGACGGAAGGCATCACAGTGGGGCGCATGTGGGAGGAGGAGGGCCCATCTCAAGATGGAGCCCACCAGGCACCTGGGGTTCAGGTTGTCTTTTATGACAGCTTGCTCTCACGGGAACTTGGGGATCAGGGTGGCTGGCTGATCCCCACCTCCAAGGGGTTCCCCACACCCTCCCACACCAGCATCCTGGGGACTGAGGCTTCCAGCACAGGAACCTTGGGGACAGACTGCACCTAACCTGGGCCATCTGCATCTCCCGTGGTTCAGAGTTGAGGTGTGTTTTTGTTTGGCAGTCTGATGTCTTCCTGTCAAAGGTCTGTGCCTGGATTATTTCTACATGAGCAGAGGAGTTGGTGTTTGAGGCTTTCCTCCTCCCTCCGTGACATCTTTTTTTTTGTTGTTTTTTTGTTTTTTTGTTTTTTTGAGACAGGGTCTCAGTATGTAGTTGAGACTGACCTGGAGCTCACTATGTAGCCCAGGCTGGTCTTGAACTCACAGCGATCCTCCTGCCTCAGCCTCCCAAGTGCTGGGTTTATAGGCATGCGTCACCACGCCCACCTCCGTGACATTTTAAGGTAGATGCCAATATACAAAAACAATTAAAAGGACCATTCTTCCTTCTTTTTTCTTTTTGTGGTCCTGGAGATTGAACCCAGGGCTTTTATACTGAGCTGCATCCCTAGTTCCGTTTTATTTTTTACTTTGAGATGAGAATTTTGCTGGGTTCGAGCTTGGTGCTCCTCCTGCCTCAGCTTCCCAGAATGCTGGGATTCCAGCATGTGCCACCGCGCCTGGCTGAAAGGAGTGTATCTTGAGAGGCACTGTGTATGGCGTGATAATTAAGAGCGCCAGTTCTGGGGCTAGACTCCTCCAGAGTGAACATCGGCTTGCCTGTTCCCTGGTCTCTGAAGGGAGAGCAGCAAAGCCGCTCTTACCCCGTGGTCTTCGGCACTGCAGCCGCTGCCTGCGGAAGGAGTCGGCTCGGGTCTGAAATTGTGGTTTATGCGTGATAGTTGGATTTCATTTTAGCTTCAGCATCCATTTCTATTTTTTTGGAACATCATCAGGAAAATGCCAATTCACAAAGATGAGTAATTGAAAACCACTGGCTATCCAGGAATCTCAGGACGACCTTACATAATGTAGATAAATTTAACTGACAAGAAGTAGTAGAACGTGTTTGTTTAATTTGCGTGGCTTTCTTCCTTGTTTTGAAGTAGCCCCACATGGCGACCATGTCACTTTGCCCCTTAGGTCAGCCGCAGGATGAGCCAGCAGGGTGTGCTGGTCCTCGACTGTGTCCGTTCCCTGGCACAAATTTAACGAGCGAAGGCCCCTGGACTAGAATTAGGAACAAAACAAAAGCAGTTACAATTTTCCTCATCAGTGAGGCATTTCTGAGCTGTTCAGACAGACTGTGACAGATGAAGGTGCACAAAACCTGAATTTAGCGGGCAGCACAGGGACGTGCTTGTTACACGGCTGCTGTGACACGGCGAGGCTGCCGCTGCAAGCACCCTGACCCACTCCAGACCCTGCACTGGCAGCCCCGCAGCAGGGCCTCGCCAGGCAGGCTCGGTGCTCCGCCAGCGGTGGCAGTGCCTGGAACTGCTTTGCGGTCCCCCCCCCGGACGCCCCCTGCTCTCTGAGCCATTGCTGTGCTCTCAGCCACCGTCTCCTGTGAAATCGATGCAGTGTCCCTGGTCCCAAACCTGCCCTGTGTTTGGGTATCCTACGGTGGTATTCTGTAAGCGCTGCTCCACAAATCCACCAGCAGAGGGAGCTAAAGAAGATGAGTTCTGCGTTCCGGCAGCCGCAGGAGCGGGAAAGGGCGCGCGCACAGCCGCACCTGCAGCTTGCTGGTCTGGAAAAGCGCTGGACCGAGTCTGTAGGGTTTGGGCCAGATCCTGGGTAATGTTCGCAGGAGGTGATTGACGTGTTTGAAAGGGGCGATTCTTCATTATGTTAAAAACCATTTGAAGGATGACCCAATAAACGTAAACATGAGAAAACCAAATCTGATGGTTAGGTTTTTGTTTTTTGTTTTACCTTTCTCCTGTTTCCTATCCTCCGAAAGAGTTATTAAGGATGATGAAATGGGGTCATCACTTTGTGCGGAGTTTCATTTGGGGCACGGAGTCGTAAAGTTGCTGAGGACGGTTGATAATCCACTCTTAAGTTTTAAAGACAGACATTTTCAAGCAAGGACCTCATGTGGTTTTGATTAAGTGTATGTGTCTTCATTTCAGTTAGCAGACTTGAAGAAAGAGAAGCAGAACTGAAGAAGGAGTATAATGCGCTACATCAAAGACACACCGAGGTGGGTTTCTGAGTTCTTCCAGTTCGTCCTGAGACAGAGAGGGAGGACCTGGGAAACTATGGCTTACTTTTTCTTTGAAAATTAGAATACTTCTTGGGCGTTATTTCCAGGAAACATTAAATGTCACGTGGCTTTTGCCTAGTTAGCAAATGTTAACTTTTTGAATTATGGAGTTAACTTTTCATATATGGAACTGGCACGGCACAGAATAATTTAGGTGTGTAAGGTGTTCCTCCAGGGCTTACCTCCTGGGCTGGCTCTGTGCAGAGTGAAAAGATTACATGATACCGGGGTGAGAGGATTGATTTGTTACCAGTTTGGATGTGATGCAGTGGTAAATTATTGGTAAGGATCTCTCCAGTTACAATCCAGTCTAAAGAACTTGTTTACATTAAGTTTGTAGCAACATAAATGTTAAAATGTATTAAATGAAAATGATTCTGAAATGCATTTTGTGCAGGTGACAGTATTCTAAACGAGTAGTTCCATCACTTAATTTCTCCAGAGCAATCGGAAAAGGTACTTGAGGGTCTTCTAACCTTCTTTTCTTCCCTTTCATATGTTGCATCTGTTTGTTTTATTTATTTTTTCCTTCCCTGTAGGGGAATCGAACTCAGGACCTTGCGCTTGCCCGGTGGCCATGCCCGCTGAGCTACATCCCTGGCGCATTGCATTTATTTTGGTCTTGTTAGTATGAAGACTGTTTTTGTGTGTCGTGATCAGTCTGGGGCTCACATACCTAAATAAATAGAATTTTCATAGACTCATACAGTATTTGTTACATGAAGAGAAATTCCTCTCCCTTTCCACTACTGTCTTTGTGTGGCTCTGGTGGTGTGGGTTTTGTTTTGTTTTGTTTTGTTTTTGGTACTGGGGGTGAACTCAGGTCCTTGTGCTCGCACCACTGAGCTAAATCCCCGGCCTAGTGGCTCCAGCCTTTATCTGTCTGCCTCTTATTGGTGCTGGGGATCGAGCCCAAGGCTCCTTCCTTTGTTTCCCCTCGGGAGAGGCTCTGTCGCACAGGTCAGGCTGTATGGAGGTGTGTGTGTGTCCTGCAGCCTCCACTGTGTGTTTGTACAGACGCCGGGGGGGCGGGGTCAGTGTTGAAATCCTTCTTGCCTTCCCAAAGTAAGTGCCTTGAGGGGCGCTTTGGAGGCTTGGAGGAGACAGCATCTGAAGGCTCGGCCTTTTACCTCCAGAGGTGGCCACATCTCAGGCACGGAGAGTTGTTTCAATCATGTTTTTACCAAATATACTGTTGGTTGCTCCTGGGAACCTGCTGTGGCCCTTTTTGTAACGTGAATGACTTTTCTTTCCTGCCTGGTACCTCCGAGTCTGCCCCCAGCCCCTCACTTTCTAAGCCAGAGCCTAGGATTTCAATTTTATGTACAGTTTACACTTTCTCTACTTTGCTTGAGCATGCATGGAATAGAGCGTGCACTGTTGTGTTTCAGATGGTGGAAAATGCTTTGGGGCGTGGGCTTCCCTGGTGGGTGGAGGCAGAAAGGACAGTGAGCGCATTGCTGCTGCAGACAGCCAAAAGGGCAGAGGCAGCGCTGGCTGTGGTGCCCGGTGGTCAGCCCCCAGAGCCGGTACGGGAGCCAGCTCCTCCGCACCTGTCTGGAGTTGAGCCGTGACTTGATATCATGAGAGCTAAATGAGCACATTTGGAGCCCAAACACAGTAGCTGCCTTCTGTTGCTACTCTTCTGTCACGCGCTTGTGTAGTTCCATTGTTGGGATCCTCTTGGAACCTTGGAGCGTATATCTGCGTTACTTTATCAGGCATTTTGGTTTTGTTTTTTCTTTTTTTGGTTTTTGAGACAGGATCTTGCTGTGTAGTTCAGGCTGGCCTTGAACTCACTCTGCAGCCCAGGATGGCCTTGAACGTGCAGCAATCCTCCTGCCTCAGCCTCCCGAGTGCTGGGATTATAGGTGTGCACCACCATGCCTGACTTTGATCAGTCTTTTGAAGGTGGTTTACAATTCAGCATTTTAAAAATTTTGTTTATTTTTTATTTTGGTTTTTTTGAGGTAGGATCTCACTATGTAGTTGAGACTGACCTGGCACTCACTATGTAGCCCAGGCTGGTCTCGAACTCACCGTGACCCTCCTGCCTCAACCTCCAAGTGTGGGATTATAGGCATGCGCCACCACACCTGGCTCATTTTTAAAATTTTAAATCTTTATTAAGCATTTAAGATAATAGAGAATCTAGAATGAGCTAAGAAAGAACTGATTCTGTTTTAGCATTTTATTTTTCTTTATTAAATAAATGGATTACTAGACAATCTGGGGAAAGGTTTAGTTCATTCACATGAAATGTTTAAGGAAACATACATTCTTCAATTGAACAAATCAGTTCTATATGGTACTGTCTAGTACGTAAGAAATTTTATTAAGGATTTCTAAAACCTATTGAAAGTTTAAATTGACATCTGTTATACCCAACAATAGCTGTGTCATATTAATCTGTTTAATGTTTTCCCCTAAAATCTCTTCCTGATGTAAGAAAGTAACTCATTATTTCTGACGCAAAGGCCAAACTTCTGATTTTTTTTTCTTTCTGAAAATGGTAGTAAGGAGAAAAGTCTACAAATTTACAATGAGAATATTTAAATTTAAGGTTACAAATGTGAGCCAGGCATGGTGGCACACCTTTTCATCCCAGCACTGTGGAGGCTGAGGCAGGAGGACTGCCTGGAGTGGGAGGCCACCCTGGGCTGCACAGTTGAAGACCGCCTGGACTGCAGAGTGAGAGGCTGTCTCAAAACAAAACAGAGTTTAAAATGCTTTTCGCATACTCTATTCATATGATTGTGTCCTTTTTTCTTTACTGATAACATTTGTTGTTTAGACTGATTTTAATTGGAGAATATTCTGATTGCACTGATTTGACAGATTGCTTGTTTTGTTTCACTCAGGAGAGTTAATTGGTTTAATAATAATTAACACTTTAAAATTAATTTACTTAATTTTTCTACATTTCAAGTAGAATTTTCACAACAAAAGCATGCTGTTTAAAGTAAAATTTAAAAATTTGTTTACAATTTTGTCTCTTTCAATGGTTTTTTAGTATGGTACGTTGCAGTTTTAGTTATATTGGAGATAGAAATACATCTTAATAGAGCTAATGCCGGATAGCTTCCAGAGCTGTTCTGTACTGGAGTGTTAAGATTCAAGTAGTATTTCCTAGAAAGACATCAGTTTTTCTTGCCTTCTACTATTTTCTCACTCTAAAATACTAACACAACATTTCTTGTTTTTTTCTTTTTTGTTTTTTAAAATTCTTTTTTTTTGTTATAGCATGTTAACATCTCTAATGATGGTGTTTTGATTTTGATTGAAATTTGTGTATGTTAATTCCAGATTTAGCATCCTCAAAAGTGAAAATTTAGATGAATAAGAATAGGGTCTTGGCATTTCTGAACAGTTTTTCTATTTGATATTCTTAAAGTTTTCACTTAAGTACTCAGCTTCTCTGTCATTGTTCTGTTCCTAAGGTTCAAACTTAGGGCTGTGATTTTTTAAAATTTGTATTAGTTTGTTACTATTGTTCTTATGAATGATTACAATAAATGATACCAGTAAATTCATAAAGAAGAAAATATTTTCTCATTCTTTCAATTAAATCTACAGAAACAGTCAACATCTTGGTGTTAATTACATTGAAAGTGATCTTTGTTAATCTCTTGAAAAGATCAACACATAAGGAAGGATATGGTTTCTCCTCAAGTTTCACATTAATTTTGTTTCCCATTTTAATGAATAGATTTGTCAGGTATCTTTTCTTTGTAATTATTATTTCTAATTAGGGGTCTTTTATTACCTCCTCCCAATATCCATACGCTAACTTCAGTGTCGGTTAGCAGTATTACATACTGTTAAAAAGAGCTAAACAAGCTCTTGGCTACTTTTATGGACATTAGCATATTAAATGTAAGCATTTCTGTATTCCTTTGCTATTCAAATTTTTTATTCCTTAATCTTCTTTTATATGGAATTGGGTAAGCTGATAAATAAGAATTTCTGTACAAATGTGTCTCCTGTGTAATAAATAATACTGTGTTTTGTTCCAGGCATTAGTGTTCAATTTTTTGTTTTTTTCTTTTTCTTAAAATAGATGATCCATAATTATATGGAACATTTAGAAAGAACGAAACTTCATCAGCTGACAGGGAGTGACCAACTGGAGTCCACCGCTCACAGGGTTAGGTAAGCCTCGTTACATGCTTTGCCTTGAGAAAAAAACGAGATAAATAATCTGTTCTTGTTGTTTTCTTCTGTTCTTTAATCCCGGAATAATAGTTGGGCTGATTCTAAGAGCTTTCCGATGTGGTTGGAATGCTATAGAAGGAAATAGCATGGAAAAATAGAAACAGCCGTCACCATTGAAAAGCTAAATCCTGAGAGCTATGCTGTATAAGCAGAATCTTCAGGTATTTCGACTTTTTGTAAAAAAAAAAAAATTGATGGAGATTACACTGGGCTTGGAATTTTCTGATTTGTGGGAATGCTGAGAATTTTTCAGAGCTCCCCTATAATTGGGCCTTTTTGAAAGGGTTGGCCAGCCACCCGTTTGGTGTAGGAGTGCGAATAAATTATGCAGCTGCGGCCGCAGCCAATGGCCTGGGCCGGGACCTGGAGCGGCGCGCGGCCGTTCATAGGCTAGCGGCGCGGGCGGCAGAGCGGGATGACGTCACCGCCGGGCCGCTGCGGACGGAGTGGAGAGCGCTGCTGATGGCATTGTTTTTGTGGCAGCCGCTGAATGACAGCTCCCCACTACAAAGATCTCCCCTTGGCCCCGGCGTAGGCCTCCTAGTCCGGGCGTTTCACCATGCCAGCGCAGCGCCATGAGTCCTGGATGCATGCTGCTGTTTGTGTTTGGCTTTGTTGGCGGGGCGGTGGTCATTAATTCTGCCATCCTAGTATCTCTCTCTGTTTTGCTGCTCGTGCACTTTTCTATTTCTACCGGGGTGCCGGCTCTGACGCAGAACCTACCAAGGATACTCAGGTACTCCGGTCTCTCTTGGAAGCCCGTGCTTGCTGGTTTTTCTTGCAGTTTTAGCCCCCTTGGTCTGCTTTTTAACCGTTTCTGTTGCAGCTTGAAACAATGGAAAATGGCCTGAATCTAGGATGTCTGTTCGCCTTTGCAGGAATTTATAGGCCACCACTTAGGAACTGCTTTGTATCTGGAAACTGCCGACCAAGGCAGAGGACTTTTCTTAGCGTGCTTACCCCCAGTGCAAGGTCAGCGTGGGCTCCTCTCGGCAGAATGGTGAAGCAGTAAAGGGAGGAGCAGGAGAGGCTGGGGCCGAGTTCATGCAGCCCCGGTTTAGCTTCCCAGCGCTAAGGAGCAGAGAGCTGTCGCGCTGGCTCTTGCAAAGGACCAGGGGGGAACACAGGCCGCAGGTTTCTTTGGTTCCAGTTTTCCTTGGCCCATGGAGGAAGGAAGTTAATCTATCATTTTATAATTTTTAGTAACAGCTCTTGGGAATTGACAATTTAAGTATTTTCCTCCTTAAGCAAAGTTATTTTAAAGTAAAAGGGCTTAAACTTTTTAGAGCTAGGACTGTGTTACCCCATTATGTACACATGGAAGTTGTGAAAGCTTTACAAAGCCGATTCTCTATTGTTGTGTCAGATGTCGTCCATTCTTTGCTTTGTAGTCCTGGTGACAAATGGTCCATGCCTGCTTGTGGGGGTGGCCACCCTTCGCCAGCCTTCCTGCCACCCCTCTGCTGCAGCCCCAAGAGAGGCCAGAGGCTGAGGGTTTGAGGTCTTTTGTTTTCTAATCATCAAAGTAGCTGAATTGAATTCTAACTGTGGACTTAGACAGAAGTACCAACCTCAGTGTGTTCCTTTTTATTCATAGGGTGGTTTAGATTCAATTTTAATTTAAGACCCAGAAATTAAATTTCATCTGTGGACTAAAAGTAGATGCTTGTTCATGTATTTTCTTTGCTGATGTCTAAAAATCAGAACAGCCTTATAGCTGATTTATATGAAAGATTTATAAAGATGCATACATGTGTCTGTGCCTATCTACGTTTTGAGGATATTATAAACACTGGACTCAAGAATCCATCAAACATTAAAATCAGACCATGTGAGAAACTGGCTCGGGCTCTGAGAAGGCAGCGTGCAGCAGGGAAGGCGCGGGGCTGCACGGCCTGGGTGCTAGCACTCTGTCCCAGCCCCTGCGCCTGCAGCCCCTCACTTTTCCTCCTCTGAGGCTCCTTCCCTTGTAGGTGGCTTTAAAAATTGAGAGAGATTATTTCATGTTAAATCGTTGCTGCAAGATATGTGGTACATTAATTTCACAGTCACCAATGTGTCCGATTTTTAGCAGAACCGTTAAAACTGCAGTTATTTTATTGTTAAAATACCTTATGCTTAAACTTTAAAAATGGCACGACACAAAGGCTTCTGTTAGTTTGATCAACTACACAGAGTAGTCTTCACTGTTAAGATTAAATTGTTAAAACGTTGGCAATTCCAGGGGAAGCAGCTGGGCCTTGGGAGTCAACAGACCCAGCTTCTGACCCTGGCCCTGCCAGTCACTGCCACTAAGTCTCTGGGCATGGCCTTGCTGCTGTGAAGTTGGAGAACTCACCCCATTTCCTGTGGAGGTTGGATGAGATACGTTCGTCCTGAGTCGTGTGGCTCAGGGCCGGTCAGGAGGCCAGTGTTCAACAAATGCAAATTTTTTTATTGCCCTTCATCTTACTAATTAGTTGTATTCAGTGTGAGTATAGCCAAAAAGCTCTTTTAAAAACATTTTGGAAAATTATTTAATCGTGTAAACTAAAGTTTAAATAATGGAGTAAAAAACTGATGTGTGGAACTAAGGCAGTTTTAACAAAACCGTACCTAGGCTTCTGCTGCTGCTGGCTTTGTTTCTGTTGGATAGTGATGTTACTAAGCAGTGATAGCAGCTGCTCCAATCTAGGGGTTAAAATACCACTTGGTGTTTTTCCAGGCGCATCCCCTCCTCCGCTGTGTCTCCTCCAGATGCTGCAGGAGCATTTGATAGAGTACTGAGCCTGCCAGCGCACAGAGCCAGGCTTTCTTCTCAGAAGTAGTGAGCTTGCATACTCGCGTGTCTCCCAACTCCTGTGTGACTTGTCAGAGCCCTACTCTTCGTCCAGAGTTGGAGCACGGTAGCCCAGGGCAGCACTGAGCCTCCTGACAGAAAGCTGCTGGTCCTTGAAAGCTGCTTTCTTTGAGAGCTCTTTCTGAATGACTGACAGAGGCAGAGGGAAGATTCTGTGGGGTGTTGTTTGTCTGTTGGATTGTAGACTGAGTAGGACACTGCAACTTGGGAGTCAAAGAGGACTTTTTACCCAGCAGTTTTAAACTTTTCCAGTATTTGATACGTGTGAATATGAATGCATGGGCATGGGAATAGAAGAGGATTCTAACGGCTGCCTTGGGTTTTGGTTTCTGGGAGCAGTGTGATGGAGTCACACGGTCTGTGTTCTCTTCTCCTCACTGCATGTCAGGGTAACCAGCTTTTCATTAGGCTGAGTCTGATTCAATTCCCAGTCACTTTTTTTTTTTTTTTTTTTGGTACTGGGGATCGAACTTAGGACCTTGTACTTGAGAGGCAGGTGGTAGAACCACTGAGCTAAATCCCTGGCCCCCCAGTCACTTTTTATTTAAGGCAGTAAAGTATTAAAGAAATAATTGTCAACTTAGTGTAGCTCTTAGACTGTAGGATTTTTCTCTTTTTAAAATATGTTCCCCCAAATTGGTGTTAAACATCAGGGTTACATAATCGATGGCTTTTCATTTTGTCAATTATAGATATGAAAAAGAGAATTGGGGCCGGGGATTTAGCTCAGTGGTTCCGCTGCCTGCCTCCCAGTGCAAGGTTCCAAGTTTGATACCCGGTATCAAAAAGAAAAAGATGATTGAACCTGGGAGTGGTAGCACATGCATGTAATCCCAGCCCTCTGGGACGCCGAGGCAGGAGCATCATGAGGTTGAGCCTGGCCTGGGCAGCTAAGTAGTTCAGCAAAGACCCTGCATCAAAATAAAAAAGTAATAAGGGTGGCAATACATCTCAGTGTGAAGGCCCTGGGGTCGAGCCCCAGTATGGGGGTGGGGTGTTCAGCTGCCAGCAACTACTAGGATTATTTAATGGAAGAAAGGGCATTTTAAGATCAAAGAAACAGAAAAGTCATACTTTAACATAGGGGTCAGTTATTTGCAAAAAGAACAATTTTTAAAAAGGGTGGGGCAGGTGCTCTGTCACAGGGAAGTGTGCACGTGGACAGCATGTACTGTATCAGTCACAAAGAAAATAGCAGATGCCCCTTCGTCCTTGGTGACTGGGGATAAGTGATGTAGAGGGAATGGCTAATTTTTGTCATTTGTTGTTCTGGCAACTTTGAGTCTCAAACTTAGGTTTTGTGTTAAAATTTAATCTCTTACTGTGCTGGCTACCTTTGTTAGACTTTTTTCTCCCAAATCAAATAGGAAAAACTGTTACAAGTGTGAAGAAGTGGTAGAAGAAGTGGTATTTTCTTGTGCACAGAACTTTGCTAAAATGCAATTTCTCAGCCCCCTTGTGCTCTTTACTTCTTAAGAAGATGTTCTGAAAGTTTTACTAGTCCTTTTTGATAAGAATGGAAGGCACATAAAAGGACAAGTTTCAAAAGTGACTTAATGGTCTTAAAATGAACTTACAGAATAAGAGACTCATTTAGCAAACTATTTTTTCCTTGCTTTTATCTATACCCTCATTGTTTCTGTTCTAACTTTCTCAGTAGTGGAGGTAGGAATTCAGGGGCCACTAAACCCGTGGTGTCTTGTTTCTTTCCCACTTTCCACAGTTTTTAGTTAATGACCCATGATGATGACCTGTTAGTAGGCTTGTTTCCACTTTCTGAAGTGCTTTCATTTGGAATCTTCTGTTCATTGACAAAAGATGTATTTTTTGTTGAAATTCTATTATTAAAAGTATAACTCTTGTTCTTTGAAATTTCCCACAGAACATTGGAAAATCAGCAGTTTTTAAATGGAGTCTCTTGGATCCCTTGTTTGCGGGGGAGACTAACAATGGTTTTCTCATGTGTATGGTGCAATGGTCTGTAGGAAAATAGAATTTTTCTACTTTAGGAAGGATAAAAATCTTTCGGGTAGCATTTAATGAGTAGCTTTGATTCAGAAAATGTGTTGGTCTTTTTCTAGGCAGAGAAGGTGAGCCCTCAGTGGCCCAGGAAGCATCCAGGGATTGACAGGAGGGTCTGGGGAGCAGGGAGTGGGGCTTGGCTTCGTTAACCCATGCGTAGGTCACTCAGCAGCGCCGCTCTGAGACCAGACCACACCACTGGCTGCTTCCCGGGCACGATACTTAGTAGTAACTTGTGCGGTTTCCTAAACGGTTGGGACACTTTTGTTAATCTCCTGGAGATGACTAATCTTCAGAGACTCTGTCCCCTTCGCTGGTTTGTCTGCAGATGGGCAGGCAGGGTCATTGAAAATGATGACCCCCAAATAATTGCCAGGCTTATCGCTTGCAGTTGTGACAAATAAAAATAAACAGTTGTTTACTTTTTCCTCCCCTCTCCTAATAGAAAAGAGCGCCCTATAACCTTAGGGATTTTCCCACTGCCCGCCGGAGATGGGCTACTGACACCGGACACACAGAAGGGCGGCGAGACCCCGGGATCAGAGCAGTGGAAATTCCAGGAGCTGAGCCAGCCGCGATCACACACCAGCCTGAAGGTGAGCGGCCCCAACAGGCTCCTTGCCTCTGCAGAGCCCTGCACAGCAGAGCGCAGGGAGATATAATTGTTCATAAACGGAAGTGAGCTCTTCCCCGAATGACAAAATTAGCTTCTGTTTGATTTAGCTGTATAAGACGGACTTAGGGTGGGGTGACAAGTAACCCTAATTATGATTTTGAGACTTGAAAATCACTGTCACCTAGGGTCGGGGATTTAGCTGAGTGATTCCGACACCTACCTTGCAAGCGCAAGGTCCTGAGTTCAATCCCCGGTAGCAAAAAAATAAATAAATTAAAGAAAAGAAAATCATTGTCACCTGAACTCCCTGGCTCACTGATGGAAATGTCACAATTTAGGGCTTCACTTTAAAAGCAAAACACTGTTTTTTGTTTGTTTGTTTGTTTGTTTTAAACGTCAAAACTACTTTATGGCCGGGCGTGGTGGCCCATGCCTGTAATCCCAGTACTTGGGAGGCTGAGGCAGGAGGATTACTGTGAGTTCGAGACCAGCCTGGGCTACATAGTGAGTTCCAGGTCAGTCTCAACTATGTAGTGAGACCCTGTCTCAAAAAAACCAACCAACCAAACAAACAAACAAAACTACTTTATGAAGCAGTACACAAAAGTGCTTTGTGTTTAATCAAAAAGTCCCGGTGTTAATTTCTTATGGATTCTATTCTTGATCCAGAACTTTTCATCAGATAAACCATAAATGTAATGGACAGCATAGGCTAGGCGTGGTGGCCCAGGCCTGTGTCCCAGCTGCCTTGGAGGCTAAGTCTAGGAGGATTTCATGAGCAAACAAACTCCAGGCCAGCCTGGCACTGTGGCAAGACTCCATCTCAGGAGGAAGTGGAGGATGTACTAATAATTAACTGAAACTTTTGTTTTTAAAGTTAGCCAAGTGCACTGACATGTGCCTTAGTCCCAAGTAGTGGGGAGGCTGAGACAGGAGGATCACTTGAGCCCAGCCTAGACAACATAGTAAGACCCCATCTCAAAAAAACCCACAGAAGTTTATAATTATATTCTCTGTCTTTTAGAATACTTATAAAGGAAGTATTGGTTGCTTAAAAAGCTTTGTTATAATGTTGACTGTATCATAAACAGGGTATTTATATATAAAGGAATTATTTGTATCTTATCTCCTTTTCATGGTATATTTTTCTCCGAAGTCCTTAGTCTAAGTACTTAAAGATAGCTTTATTGTCTTCTAAAATACGGAGTCATTTACATATTTACTTGTTTGTTTCTTTGCAGTAAGCCCTAAGAAGATAAGTTCCTGCTGTATCCCTAGCACTTAGGAGAGTGTATAGCACCTTGTAGATGCTCAGAACATGTTTTGTTTGTTTTTACAGTAATGGGGCTTAAGCCAGGGAGCACTGAGCTATATCCTGGGTCCTTTTTTTTAGTTTTGTTTTTTTGAGACAGGGTCTCACTAAATTGCCCACAGTGGGCTTGAACTTGTGAGTGATCTCCTGCCTCAGCCTCCTGAGTAGCCAGCTGGGATTACAGGCGTGCACCACTATGGCTTACTCAGAACATGTTTTTAAATGAATTATTTCTTTTAGATGTTAGACTCTTTTGAGATAGTGTAAATGATCTTTCAGTTCCAGATGGTAGAGATTTTCAGATTCATTCTGTTGACCTTTGAAATATGCTCAAAACAAAAAGCCCTCATTAAATATTCAATGGCTTTTCTCTCACTGAAAAATGTTTTTGTTTCTTGTTTTCCGGGCTGGGGACTGAACCCAGGGCCTTGTGTGTGCTGGGCAAAGGCTCTACCACGGAGCTCCACCCCAGCCTCAGAGCCTCTGCTTCTCTTCCCTGAGAGCTCAAATTGTGAGAAGTCAGCCTCCTCCTTGGTGATGGCTCGGGGAGACACTGCATTCTTCATGCCTACAGCCGCACTGGCTTTTTTAGCCTGCCTGTAGGTTTAATGGATTTCCCAAAATATCCACCTCTGTTGGCCTGTTTGCTGTGTCCCCTTTCTCAAAACAAAATTAAGTAGGAGGAATACTTGTAGTACATCAGAAATGAATTACCATCTGGCAGCTTTACTTATTAAAGTGCACTTTCACAGATGATTATTATAATTCTTTTGTCACTTAATCCAGTGACATGCTGTGACAGAACTTCACCGGCAAGTTATAGCTACTTAAGAGGTGATTAATATGGATGCAGCATAGTGGCTTTTCGTGTCCTCCCTGGAGATGGTCAGGCCAGTGCTCCCCAGAGAGACCCTAAACCAATCCCATGTCGCTCTGCACTGGTCTCAGGTAAAGGCCCAACAGACGATTTTCAGGAACTAGGTGGTACATTGCAAAATGGCACAAGTCTGACTGGTAAAGTGTGCCTGCTCGTCAGGACCTATTTATTGTTCACCTAAGCCCTTCTCTAACTTTCCCAAGGGCTGGAAGCCAGGGGTTGGGTTCATTCATGGGCCACGTCACAGGTGTCTCAGGTGTATTACAGGACATGGAGTGGACTACTTCATCTCTTGATTTAAAATCTCCCAGAGCTCAGATGATCCTAGTAGTCTGGGAGCCTGAGGCAGGAGGGTGGCAAATTTGAGCCCACCCTGGGCATTTGAATGACTTGGTAAAAAAGGTTTAAAAAGGACGTTGAGGGAAGCCTGGGCACATAGCCAGCCAGTGCAAAGGCCCTGGATTCCATCCCCAGTACTGCAGCCAAAAAAAAGGAGAGAGAAAGAGAAAAATTAGAAAAGAATTATAATCAACATTAATTTTATGAGCACTGTTTTTTTGTTTGTTTTGGTGGCGGTTGGGTGGGGTACCAGGGATCAAACTTGGGACCTTGCACTTGTAAGGCAGGCGGTAGCACCACTGAGCTAAATCCCTGGCCTGCATTTGATAGATAGATTTCGATTCTTAAAGTGCTTCCTTCACACCCCGCCCGGTCGTGCTCTGTGTGATTTGTCCCTGCCCCTTCCCCCTGCTGGTTTCTCTTCTACTTTGGGTCCTCCAAACATCGGAGTGACCCAGGGCTTCTCTACATCCGGGTCACCAGGCCCCAGGTCTGTAAATGGCACCTACACATTAATGGTCACAGGTTCCAGTCTCCAACCTAACCTTTGCCCTGAACTCCAGAGCGCTGCATCCATTTGCTTTTCTTCAGCCCATACTGGTTTGACCCTGCTGGGTTAATAAGGCCAGGCTGAACTGCACAGCCTAGTTGAAGCCTCACCTGGCACTTGATTGATGATCCTCAAATTCTTTAGAGATCAGTGAAGGGCAGAAAGCAGAAGCGTTCTGTACTGCATCATTAACAGGATTTTTTTGGGGGGTGGGGGTGGTACCCAGGTTCAAACTCACTGCTTGTGAGGCAGGTAGGGTGCCACTGAACTAAATCCCTGGCCCAACAGAATTTTTTAAGCTGGAGGTTTTCTAGTAAAGTCAATAAAAGAAACCAAATGACCAATGTGCGATGAAAGTGCTAGGAATGTGGGACTGAGCAGTAATGGCAAGGGGGGAGCTTTTTATCTCCCTGAATTATATTCATGAACAAGCTGCAAATCAAGAAGGAATCAGAGTAGAAAAGACCAAGTGTAATGAAGACAGTTGTAAAGAAGGAGTAGTTCAGGAACTTGTCCTGCCGGATAGTTAAGATTCAGCATAAAGCACTGAGGCAGAGTCCACATTGTCTTGCTGTCCTCTTCGCTTTCTGCGCAGTTCACCTCCTTGTGAACGTTTTAGAGTTCTGGAGCTCCGCCACGGCTCGGAGCTCTGTAGCAGGACCGCCGCGCTGCCCTGTTGGCAGCTCTCCCAGGGATGTGCTTGGCATGCCGAGGCCGAGGCCCCCAGAGCAGCTTCCTGTGGGAAGGGCTTTGCCTGCCAGCATCTGGGCTTCTGTGCTCAGGCTCTGCCCGCAGCTCTAGTTGTCACTGGCTTGAATCTCTAGAGTGCTGGAGTCCTATTCCTCTTATTGCCTGTCATCAGACATTCCTACTGTACAATACATGTGCAATAGTGAATTTTAAAATCATTAAAAGGTCTTTTACGGGGAGCCAGGGATTTAGCTCAGTGGTTCTGCCATCTGCCTTGCAAGCGCAGGGACCTAAGTTTAATCCCCGGTACCAAAAAGAAAAAAGGGGGGGCGTCTTTTACTTTTCTAAAAGGGCCTTTTATTGTCAGGCAGTTTTAAACTTAGAGAAAAGCTGCGCGAAGGGTACCAAGTTCTCTTACACCTTTCTTCCAGCTTCCCCACACGCTGACTGCCGTGCGGTTTTCACCACCGAGGCATGGACATGGGCGTTCTGCTGTTAGGTAAAGTGCAGGCTCGTGTGGGAGTCTCGCCAGTTTCCCATTAGTGCCCTGTTTCTGTCCAGGGTCCATGCAGGCTCTTAGGATGCACTTCGTCACCTTGTCCTCTTTCCTCAGCCCTCTCCAGTGTGTGGCTCTTCTGTCCTGCCGTCTTTCATGAAGACTCTCTCTTCAATTAACCTCCTCTGGTGACTTCTCACAATTAGACTGAGGCTGTATTTTCTTTTTTTCCCCCATTAAGTTTATTGGTCCATTTAAAGCAAACAGTACAGTTACATGCATCATTGGGATCTTGTACCTTTACATGATATGTCTTGGTTCTTGTTTTTTCCCCATTCCCCTGCCCTCCCTTCACCCTATGTTTTCTTTCTAGTAGTGAGAATTGAACCCAGGGGTCTCTTCTGCATCCCCAGCTCTTAATTTATTTTTTATTCTAAGGTAGCAGCTCACTAGGTTACTAAATGGCCCGGGCTGGGCTCGGACTTGCAGCCCTTTTGCCACAATCTCCCAGAGTGCTCATGTTGCAGGCGTGCACCCTGTCCGGCTGAGGTCCTCAGTTTGTTTCGTTTTGTTTTGTTTTTCTTTTGGCAAGAATACCACAGGAGCCTTACACCTTCTTAGTGAATTGTGAGGGGAGGAGTACTACAAGGTCGGTTGTAATGTTTGGTGATTCTGAACTGCAGATGCTCTGCGTTTCTCTCAGGTTTTAGCATCCCTCAGTGAATCTTCCCTCCTGCAATTATTAGTATAATTCTGCTAACAGGTATTTTCTGTTTTCTTTGTCCTTCCACATTTGTTAAGTACCATTCTGTGAGGAATAACCGTCCTTTCCTTGTCTCCCTCCCCTCCTCTTCTTCCATTCGGGACTCTGGGTCTGTGTTTTGTTCTGGGGCTCTCCAGTTCTATCACTGGTGTTCACATCATTCCAGCTGTGAACATGGGAGTTCTTCTAGATTGGCCCCTGTATGCTTTCTGTGCATCCAGTCCTCTGCCTTCCTGTGACCCTGTGAGCTGCTTCGTGCCCTGGTGTCCTCCCTGCCCCAGCTGTGCAGAATCAGCTGCTCTCCAGGATTCCTGTGCTTTCCCTGGAGGATGGTGCTGTATTTAGGAGCCAGGTCGGGGCACTCTGTGCCTATTCTTGGAATGTGATTGCTTCTGAGCCCCTCTTTATATTGCTTCTGTTGTTTATGTTCATATTACCTCCTCTTAGGCTTTTGCTAAACCTTTTTTTTTTAATGACAGTCTTGCTCTGTAGCATAGCTGGCCTGAAACTTGCAGCAGTCCTCCTGCCTTAGCCTTCTGAATAGGTTTTTTTTTTTGTGTTAATATTTAAAGAAGGCAAAATAAAAGTAGAATCTTTATTTGGGTTTTTCTTTTTTTTTTTTTTTTT